AAATCATCTAGATCAAGTATCAAAAGAGTCAAGTGATGACTTTGCTGAAAATTGGGATGATTCAAGTGAAAGTTCAAGTATTGTTGAGATCGATGCTCGTGAGTTTGTTCCAAAGAATAAACGTCATGAAGACATTTAAGATGCACATTCAAATGTGTAGAAAATATCACTGGAGCTTGAAGATTTGAATGGAGCCGTGCATGCCAAAAGAAGAGGAAGAGCCATGCGGGAATTATTTGTTTAAAGTATTTTAAATAATAGAGTCTGTAAATATATAATCTCTATTTACCTAGAGTCAATAAATTGATTTACCATGAGGGTTAATTGAGCTTCTTTGTTCGTTTCTAGGAAGGTAATTCATTAAGGGTATTTGAGTCTTTTGCCATTAAAAGAAGTAATGTTAATTACTCTGCTTAATGGTTAAGTTATGTAAGAGTTTGAGTCAAAATCAGCTTCGTCTTTTCTTCTTGTGTGATGGAGTCCAAATTGATTTTGTAAACCTTATGGTTTTTAATGAAATTTCATGATTGGATGGTTTTCACAACAATGAGCGTTTCTCGTTATTTTGAAGAGTTTTACTATTATTTAATTCTTTCTTTCTTATGGCCTAAGGGGACTTAGTCTAAGAGTAAACCGTTTTATCATGTTGAGCTTTTGCATGATTTAATTGTTTTAAAACTAATAGTCTTGTATGTGAGTGGAATAAGAGTCGATTGGTTATAGCTTTTATTTGGCTTAGGTTATTCAAATTTCTTGTGAAATTTATGCATAAGATGCCTTTTTGAGTTTATCTATTTTATAGATGGTTTTGCTTAGAAAAAGCAAGATGAATTATGTATTTTGCATGCTTGTTACCTTGGTTGCGAATTGTCCTATCTTCGATATTATTATTTGGAATAGTAGTAATTTTTGATTGGTTTGTTTGTAGTTGAGTAGTGATTTGCTCATTACATGTGTCGTCAATTATATAGGTAATTGTTTGCTTACATTGAAGGGTTCAATCTTTTGTGATTTGATTGTTCAATTCGAATGGTTATTTGGATTTTATATTTATACCTTTGTTTGAGTTCATAAGGTAGCTTAATCAATGATCAACGATCCGTTTATTTGTCATATTTCCGTACTCTATTTAGAGTTTCACTTTTAAACATCTTTTTCATGTTTTCTTGTTGATGGTTCCATTAATGAAATTTGGTTCGTCTACTATATTGCTATCAAATTTTTGGTAACAGAGCCTTCGTTGATCTTCTGATTGGTTTTGGTTCATAGATAGTGGTTAATCTAAGTGATATCCGATTTTCTTTGAAAATATGGTTTAGAACCCTAGCCAATTACTATTATTGGTAGGACAATCTTTTATTTGGACAAAGGTTCTTTTGTTTTCAAAAACTTTTTGAGAAAAGTAAATCAAACTTTGAGTTAAAACAAAAAATTCATAGGTTTTTCTTTTTTGAATATTTATGGCAAAATTAGGTATTGCCTTGGGAAGAATTTTTTAGTGTGTGATTTCGAGAAACTAGTGAGTCTTGATGAAGCTGTGAAAACAATTGATACAAGCAGGGATTCACTCGAGATTCCTTATGCAGTTGAAAGTAGAGATTTACGTCTTTATGATCAATTGATTGAGAACTTATTTATTCTATGTTTTTTATGATTGGACTTGATGCCAAAAGCGAAAACGCATAGCTTTGTTTTTTCAGAGAAGATGTGTTTACATGAGCACTTGTGTGTGTGTGTCTATAGGTCTAGATTCTTTGAATTTATGATCTATTTGTGGGTAGAACTTTCATGGAAGTATGTTTAGTAGTATATAGAAGTGTTAATCTTTCCTTTTTGAGAGAAAAGTAAAACTAGGGTTTGTGATTTTTCAATCAATGAAATATTCATGAACGATTATAGGTGTTTTTCTTGTCGAGTCTTGCGTCGGCCTTGGGTACATGTCGACCAAAATGTGTGTCTCGTTGACTTCTCTTTCGAGTTGTTTTTTTGACTTTTGCGTGGTTTAATTTGAAGTTTTCTAAAAGCTTTAATTCAATATATGTGCAAGATAACTTGAAGGAAGCAAATTGTTTTTTGAACTTTTGGGTTAATGAGGAGTTGTTTGAAGTCCTTTATCAAGAATAACGGGACTTTTCTTGTGGAGATTAGATTTCAATTAGTTTCAAATTTTAGTTTTCTTAGAGTTTATCTCTATGTGACTTATGTGATTTTATTGTAGAGTCATAAGAATGAAGCTATAAGTTTAAGAGTTTTACACTCTAGGATTTGCACGTAAAAGAGTTTCCATGACGGACTTTGGGAATTGCTTGTGGTCCAAGTATCTAATTTGTGTGTGTGTTTTTTTATGTGTTTTTTTTTAACAAAAGGTTTTTCGAAAAATAGGGTTAAGAAATTTTCAATTATGTGTTTTTATGTGGTTTTCATTTGTTTGTTCTTTGAGCTTGGTAAACGAAATAAATTTGCTTGTATGCATGATTAATATTTTTGAGGTTCAATTACAATAAGAAGGCTTAGTTTTTTACTTTGATTTTAATTGAATAAAATCGGAAATTGAATATTTTGTTTAGTGTATGAAATTTTATTTCCTATTCTAAGTGGGAAAAGAAATTTTGTGTATGTGTGAACGTGTGTGTGTTTTTAGGAAATACTAAAAGAGAAAATTAATATTATTTGTGTGTGTTGCCTAATAATAAGAGGGAAATTGGGGGGTTTTCTAAAAGTTATTTGGTAAATTACTTGTTTTATTTGTGATAAGTGCTAAATTAGATATATTTTTATGCCCTCATTCATATTATTTTTAATAAGAATTTATATTTTCAAATTGAATTTGATGCTATTTTAATTAATGATAATTTGCAGGAAACAAATTCTTTTCTTGAAAATTAAATGATAAATTATTGGAGTTTTGGACTTTATTGAAAATTTAGAGAATTGAAAAGGAAGAAAGTTGAGAAACTGAATTTTTGAAGGATTTGAATTGCAAATTTGGACTTTTCTATGATTAGGCCGCGAGTGGGGGCTGGAATTAATATTTTTTCGGCCTGATTCTTGGAGCCTAAACATCAAGAATTGGGCTGGTCATATTTCTAAAAAAAATTAGAAAGGAAGCTACACTAATTTGATGAAGCTCCAATTTCCTTTTTAATTTGAGCTTCCAAATCTGTTGCTGTTGCTCTGCGCTGAACACGAAAACCGAAGAAGAAATTCCTAGGGGTGTCAGTTTGTGCAGTTCGGTCGGTTCGAGTGTAATTCGGTTCGGTTTAATCGATTTCTTTCTTTCACATGAACCGCCCGAAACCGAACCGCTTACACTGTTGAACCGAACCAAACCAACCGAATAAACAATCAGATTTATCGGTTCGGGTTTCGGTTCACCCGCATAATGACTTCTTTCCAGTCATTCCGGTGATGTGTGCTGACACATCGCCAACGATTTGACTCTTTTTTTTCTCCTATAAAATAAAGAAGAAATTGAGCGCAAACAGCTTCCTTCGGACTGAAATGGCCGCATAAATATAACAAATTTAACACAAACTCATCCCTACAAAATTCTCACTCAAATTAACACAAATCTAAACTTAGAGCAACATAGCAAATCCATCTTTAGGATAAGAAGTCAAAACCCCAATTTCGAATTACAAAATCCCAAATCCAAACCCGAAACACATATTTCCACCACTCCTCATTCCGATCTGATTGATTTGCTATCTAACCAAATAAAGACAAGAAGGTATGTTGGACAAGATGATAGCCACGGTGAGGTATGGGTTGGAGAAAAAAACTGGAGAACGAGACTTTGATTTTGACAATTGAGGATAAGGGAAGGAGGATTTATAGATATGAGATTTTGGGATTTGATTGATGGACTCCAAGATTATACGAAAGCAAGATGGGTGAAGAAGCTCTCTGGTCGACGAGCGACGATGAGGAAAGGAGAGGCATCGGCGGATGTGAAGATAAAAGGAAAATAAGAGTGGTTAAATGGGCCAAATGAAATTTCTAATGAATTATAACTATAAATATATATAATAAAAAAATTAGTAAATTATTATGAACCGTTTTATCTCACAAATTTTCGGGTGAGACCGAAAACCCACCCGATAATCCAATTAACCGACCCGTTAGCCCCGAATTCAGTTCGGCTCGAGCGAGTTTTCGGGTTGACCCGACTAGCTGACACCCCTAGAAATTCCCCAAGTTTGTGGTGGTGCTGCCCGGAGTTATTATTCTAATTGGATGGGGAAACAAGTTTCTTAGTCTTTAAGAAATGGGGCTCAAAATACTGTAAAAGGGACTTGGATTTTCTTCTAAAAACTGAACCCGAACCCCCTTCCAAAGCCACCATCACCGCGCCAATTAACGCTACACGCTAGACAACACACACACAAGTAGTGGAGGCGGATCAACTTCTTCCTATCAAGATTTAGGCTTCGGCAACTTGTGTTTCTTTAATCGGGTTCCATTGCTCTTTTATTTTTATTTTAACATATAGTAGCTATATATTTTAATTTAGAGTTTTGGTTGTAGCCGTCATATTATTTAGCTTATTTAACTTATGATTGTGGTTTTTTTATTAATTAATATTTATTATTTTTGTCTTTCATGTAAATACCTGATTAATATTTGTATACTTTAAGATGCTAAGTTGAAATAGCGAGAGTGGAGAACTAGCATTAGTTCGTAGAAATAATAAACACCGTGATTGCTCTCATGTAGTTTATAGCTATCTAAAATCAGATTTTGGAAATATAACACGCGTAAACAGTTCTGTTGGAGAGGTTGGGTGGACGTGTTGTTGTATCAAGGAATTCTAACCCTGAGGTTCGTACTTGGGACAGTTCTGTATTCATGATTTTCAAACGTCTGTTGACTATTCTCTTCAATGAAAATGCTATGATACCAGAATCAGTTAGAAAATTCAGCTTGTTTAATTGGTGAAAACCAACATAGATACGGAAGCACCAGAACAAATTCCTTGGTAATCTTGCATAAACAAATTATCCGACTTAGGTACTTATATATTTCATTAGGTTTGTAAACACTATTGTCTGATTTCAGTGTCCATAGAGTGAAGAGGATTGGAACTATAATTTATTAATTTGGTAGTAGAAAAAGCTAATAAGGAAATATTTCACTTTGTTAAAAAGTGCGCGAGCTACAATAGGACTGCACAAATCATACATAGGATATATGCTACAGACAAGCCGGGCATCTAAAAAACCACTGCAGCCTAAAAGCTCAGTTTCCATCATACTCATTAACTGCTTCTTTATTGTTTTCTCTTACTCACGGCCTCTAAGAAAGAACTGCCCCAGCAACCTGGTTGTGAATTGTGATGCCAGAAAATTCCAACCATCAGCAGCTTATTCCTTTGGAGCTTCATTTCTCTTTGCACGCTTTGCTTCGTAGTCCTTTACATCGGCTTTAATAGCATCCTCAACAAGCATACTACAATGCAACTTGACTGGAGGAAGAGAGAGATGTTTTGCTATTTCTCTGCAAAATCAAAGAATGCGCTTAGAGTCGATTTGTATAATTGAGATTGCACAACAGAGATGCTAAGATATAAATAAAAAAATTTCAAGTCAGCCAGAAAAGCATTTGCAGTGGGCAAAACTGAAGCACATTCACGGGGGAATGGGATAAGAACAAAGAAATAAAAATCCAGCAAGTGGCAATGCCAAGTAGTTCTAAAGCCTATAAGCTAATGCCTGGTAAATATGCGCAAAACAAAACACCAAAACCTACTCTAATCAAGCAGAAGAGGAAAATCAATCATAATGGTTCAACTACACCTAGACAGCTATTCTTCATATATGATACAAATATCAGACTGGCGTCTGACTCTGATATAATGGTTTCTCCACAAAACAATGCCTACTTAAGTACCATTTTCAATCACCAAAATATCCATGCAAAGGATTGTGGGTTATTTTATTCTACGAAAGAGCACTTTCTGAAGCTGAACACTCTGGTCTCTATGATTTCAACAACACACGAAATGCAAGCGGAAGAAGCTCATGAAACAATCAGTGGCTTTCCCCGTGTGTGTGCGTGTGCGTAGGGGGGGGGGACAAATTCAAGGCTGGTTAAGACTCACATGACCTTGAAATCACGGCTGTGGGCAAAAGTATTTCTTAGTTTATTTCGCAGGTAAGACTATGAAAAGAACTGTGGCGTGCTGAATGTAAGATCTCCAATTGGATTTTGGGATTTACAACTGGAAAAGTGACAGTCAATTCAAGGTAATTGCTAACTGGAAATCTTTTGACTTTTCTTCATCCACCAGTGTGAATATTGCATTGTTGAAAAAGTACTCCCAACATTTGGTCAAAAAAACAAAAGAACCTTTGCGAATAAAAAAATCAAATGCATAAGAGCAGAGTACGAAAATCAGGAAGAGTAATGTGCATCTAAGCACTGTATGAAGAGCATCGATACATAACCCTGCCAAATTTAACAGCAATATCACATCTTTATTTTTTACTATCAATCCTGCCTTGCAATCTTTTGATATTTGACACATGTTTTGAACAAAAAAAATTTCATAAGTACTACTTTTAAAGTCTGTTAATTAGGTAGATATATCTTTGAATTTTGTTCAACTACCCTTCAACATCTCACAATATGGTCATCTGGACATATGAGGATGCTATACTCAATGATAGTTTCTTCACTAAATATGGACTCCTATTTCTTAATGAACGTTCACAATATCCTCAATTGATTCATCTAAATCTACCCTGAATCAAGAATAACTTCATATCAAGGGCGAGATCACTTAGCTATGTCCAATAAGTTAGAATCTAGATACAGCTGTTGTCCAGAAGACTCTCGACACTGGTTACCTAGGTCAATCAGGCCTTGTTTGTTTGTCATTTCATTTTACTTTTTGTCTCATTTTACCTCTTAAACACAAAACCCAATACACTATCCAAACATCAATTTAATTTACCTTTTAAACTATTGTAAAGTTTAGTACCGATAGTCACTAAACTATTTTAAAATTTTAAGTTTGATCACTGAACTATTGTAAAGTTTAGTGGCGGTGGTCACTAACCTATTGTAAAGTTTTAAATTTGGTCACTAAACTATTGTAAAGGTTTAAATCTGGTCACTATACTATCCCACTTTCCAAAAATGGTCACTACACTATAATACTTTCTAAAAATTGTCACTAAACCTACATTTTAAATCTCCTCCCAAATCCAAATGAAAAACTAAATCAAAACGTTGTCTAAACATTAGCTTGTTAATTTAATTCATAATAGAAAAGACTGATATCAATTAAGCATGTGTTTGATGATCATAATGCCAGATGTACATCTTAATAGGCTGCAATCGTCCAGAAAATATGGTTGAAGAAAGAAGCATGAGCAAGTTAAGCCCAGAGAAAGGAGGCTCCCACGGGCCACTTCAGTGAATGTCAATCAAACCACACTGTTTCTGTTGTTTCACATATCCAGATTTTCAAAAGGACATAAAATTCTTCAGCTTTCAGAATGCGAATAAACTCTTAACCCCACAATGAGATGATGCTTGCCCAGTTGCAGTAAACTACTCACACTTGCATAGCACTATCATAGACTTGTTAAATCACACAATTAAACTAAAAGAATTTACCAATATAAAAAAAAAAGGTGTAGAGAGAAAAATGAGGTGCACATCATCCACAAGTAGCATGTGTCAAAATGCTTCTTGCAAAGACATTGATAAATTTTTACACGCACGCACTTACGAACACATACATCCATAATTTCAATTATCTTTGGTGAGATTCCAAACTTTCTAATATTCTAGAGTAAATGCACTGTAGGATTGGGCAGCAACAAACCCGCTATTATACTATTGCAGATAGGCTCTCTATAAGCTAAAAATAGTGGTTTTCTTTGGTTTACAGGCACTTGTGATATTCTAACAGATGCTACACAGTATAATGGGTCACAATGAGTCATTAAATTTCTGCGGTGTGATTATATCTGAAACCATATATTGTAGTTTACTTCTATTTTCATTAATAACTACTTGGACATCACCTAAAACATTTCACTTGAGCGGATGCTTCTAATCACTTAGATACCCTGAACTCAGGGTAAAACACCTTATGGTCACTAGGTCTTTTTCTGAGGTGTGATTATATCTGAAACCATATATTGTAGTTTACTTCTATTTTCATTAATAGCTAATTGGACATCACCTAAAGCATTTCACTTGAGCGGATGCTTCTAATCACTTAGATACCCTGAACTCAGGGTAAAACACCTTATGATCACTAAGTCTTTCTATGTATCTCTAACCTATTAATGTAAATGAATTTTAGCAGCCAAGGAGAGTGGATCTCTTCAATCCAGGAGGATTGGACTCTGGTGGCCACTATTGTAGCTTATCCATGAGATATCCTAGTACTAACTGCAGTTTTATGATGTCATTGGTGCTTACAGAGAGGTTAAATGATTTAGATTTATATTTTCTTACAGGAGGCAGATTAGACTTAATGCAATGAGCTTATGATAACCATTCCCCTCTTTCAGCAAAGTTTATATAAAATAATCAGTTGCATACGGGTAACACCTTTCTATAACAAGGGCTAGCAGAAATAGATCAACCATTTGATATGCAAAGTTAAGGAAGTATTCATTTGAAAAAACTCAGCAGTAAATAATGAAAAACCTCAGCACTAAATGAAGTAAGAACATTAGTCCTCTAGAACGATGGAAGTAAGAGAGGGTTAATCTACAAAAATGCATAGTAATAAAACAATCATCACTAGGAATTAAGATGTTAATGCTCTGGTCCATAAATAGTTAGCCAACTATTGTTATTTACACAGCAAAACCACTTGAGATCTATAATGTTCAACCATACAAAATTTCAAGTATGGAAAGATTACTTTAGAAAGATGAAAAACATGTTGCCAAAGTTTAATAAAGTAATCTGGTTGTTATACGCTACACAATGTCAGCTTTGAAACATTTTCAACTTTGCATTCCATTTTTGAAGACAACACTACCATCTGGATTCAGAGTGGGAAAAAAGGGGATCTTTTGGCTGAAAATCTTCTACTTATGTGAGAGGCGAGGTGGCTCATTTAAAAGGGAAAATCAGATGCTCTGATCTACTCACTGTCACAGAAAATTAGCTCTCCCATAGGGAATTACAGAAACTTCACAAAAATGATATGCAAACGAAAAGATACCATAGAATAACAAGCAGCACAAGATCACTGCAACTAAAACAACAACATACAATAAATATTAAACACAGTAAGAGGTAAGGCTAAACAACCAATGAATCAAATAAAGTGTTTTCAAGAGATATAGATCTTACGTATTCTTGATGGTAAGGACTTCCTCCATTTGCTTCCCTTTAACCCATTCAGTAGCTGAAAGTAGCAGGAAAAAGTCTAGGAATTTCTTAGGAAACACAAGCAGCGCTGAAGGTATGATAAAATTTGGGTAACCTTTATAAAATGGCCAACCAACAACAATTACCAATAAAGCACAATAAAACACGGTCACCAAGTTGCAGTGTTCACAACAAAGTAGGATACAAAAAAACATATTGACTATCAGTGCCCAACAGTGGAAAAGAAAAAGATTCAAATCCCATGCATGCTTTAAAAAAAAAAACACACACACACACATACACACTTACGGCCGAGATATAAATGTACCAGTGAGAATATCAACCTTCCAATATGACATGGAAACGAAGCACACATATCCAATACGCAATCTCAGTTAACCTAATCCTCAAAGCTAAGGGCAGAGACCTCAAGTCCAATACCCACAATATGTAAATAAAAATAAATAAAAAAGCATCCACAACCTTCTAAGACATGAGATATCTATTCTTTTCCATGGATCGTAACTATTTGTTCTCGTTGGATCAAAAAAATTGCAAAGAAAAATCTAAATAAACTTGCCTTGATATTACTCTATCAGCCCAAGTTTCAAATCATGTTTCAGCACTGAAAAGACTTAGGAGTACAAAATTCGTGATTTAGGTTCAAAGTCCCTAGCAGACATATAATTGCCATCTGAATTCCCTCAGATAAATGAATAAACCCGTGCGTCTAATTCCAACATAAAAATGTTAAATATTTCATTTTCTAGAGCGCTTTGGAAATTAGGAATCGTCTATCTAATAATTACACTAAAGAATCCAACAGAAGAAAAATAACCATATAACCTAAATCCACAACCATTGCAGCAGGATAGCTTCCACAATTATTTACAATAACACAATCCCATCAATAAAAAACAAAATTAAAAAAAATCAAGTATAACAAAATATCCGTAGCAAACAATAAATTAGGAAAACAAAAAGAAAAATCGATACGAACCCACGGAAGAAGAAGCAATAGCGGAGCCACAGCCGAAAGTCTTGAAGCAGGCATCGACAATCTTTCCGGTCTTATCATCAACTTTAATTTAAAGCTTCATGACATCGCCTCAAGAAGGAGTACCTACAAGCCCCGTTCCAACAGTCGGATCATTCTTGTCAAAAGCTCCGACATTCCTGGGGTTATTGTAATGGTCCACAACTCTCTCGTGGTAGAGCCTCCTGTGAAGATGTGGTAACGCACCCGCCGGCGATGATGACAGGGCGGAGGAGGAAGAAGAAAATGTACCCAAAAGCCGATATGCCGTGTGGCGCAGCATTTTCCGTCGGAATAGGAGAAGTAATCTTGGCGGAAGGAAAAGACTAGAAATTGATATACACTAGGGATCGAATTGATGAGCTTAGATAAGGGGACGGGCTTTTTCCCAAAAATAAATTAATTAAAATAAACGTGGATAAATTTGAATTTTTCAGAATATTAGTGGACAGAAATATATCTCTCGGATTTCTGAAATCCGAGTTCTAATTAAAATTAAAGATTCGAATTTCGTAAATCCGAGCCTATATTTCATAATAAAATAATAATTAAATAAATTTTGTTGAATAATAGTTTTTAAAAATTCTTAAATGAACAGCGTCGTTTGGATTTTCGGAATCCGAATTTAGTAAAAAAATAATAAATTGAGACGCGAAATATTTGAACTCAAATAAGGAGTCTCCTTAAATGAACAGTAGTACTCGGTTTTACAAAATCTGAGTGTACGAAAAGAAAAAAGAAAAAAAGAAATTCGCGGCCTGAAATTTTTGAATCCAGAAACCGGAAGTCTGTGATCCGGTTTCCTGTATTCGGATTTTGGAAATCCGACTGCCTTTAATTTTGGTTGGTGGAAGTAGGCATGTGCCATAAATTGCAGGACCAAAAAATGAATAAAAAAATCTGGAATTGACCAAACTCGGATTCAGGAAATTCGAGGCCATGGTAATTCGGATTTCTAAAATTCGAGTTACTTACGGACTCGGATTTCGTAAATCCGAGTTTAACGTGCTATAAAAGAAAAAAAAATTCAGACAGTTCTCATTCGAGAGCTGAGTTAGATTTTCTATTTTTGCAGCTCAAACAAGGGCGAATTGGAGCTTTTGATGCATTCTTGTCTCTAGATATGTGGGAATTGTTATATGAAAGAGGTTAGATTGCAAAACCATGTTATTTAGTTTAGTTTTGCGTTATTTTGATTGTTAGAATGATGTATGATAGATTAGGGTTTATGTTGGTTGGTTGTTTGGATGTTTTAGGTGTTGATTTTGAGGTTAGAGGTGAGAAACCATAGTTATTCATGAGATATGGAAGTTGATTTATAAGTATTTTAATATTTTATAGGTTTTTTGAATTATGAATGGAGTATGTATGGTGTATTTGTTGATTTTATTATTAAGAAATGATTAGTTTTTTAAACAGTTATCAAAGGCACATAATGTATCATACATGCTTAATTTGTATAATACAAGCAAGTATGTGATAGAGAATGGTAGCATCAACACTTTTTCGAATAAGCCGGATGATGGTTTGTTTGTTGAGGAAAGGTTGTCATATGAGGGATTGATTATTAAGATTTGTATGACACTTGGTTGGGATCCAGCACACGTGAAACTCTACCTTTCTTTGATTTTCGATAGTCCCGGTGGTAGGTGTGTAGTGAAAATCAAGAATGATTCGCATGTAGAGTTCATGAACCGTGTAGATCCAATGTCATGTTTGGATTTATACATAGATTTGGAAGATATCACTCAAGAAGAAAGAGAAACGAGTTTGGAAAACTTGTCATTTGGTGGTTTTCAGAAGAAAGAGAAACGAGTTTGGAAAACTTGTCATAGGGGGGAACGTGCTAGTACATCTAGAAACCGTGATGAAGAGGAGACACCTTTATTTGCAAAAGATGACTACCGGGAAGAGTCGGATTCCGACTACATAGCTCCAAGTGAAAGCGAAGAAGACTGTGCTGTCTCCGGAGAGAGTGATTTTGAAGAAAGTGATGATAAAAGGTTGGAAAATGAGGAAAGGGATTGTAATCCATTGCCCCAACGCCATGTATATAGTAAGATGGGGAAATGGGATGCCTCATGTGTGGATAAGGATGAGTTTGCTCTTAAGATGTGGGATGAGACGCCCGAAGGAATGGACATTGGTGTTTGTTTCAAATCTCAATCAGAAGCAAAGCATGCTGTGAAATTATGGAACATCCATCGTAAAAGGGAATATACGGTCGTCATGAGTAGTCTAACGACGTGGGCTTTGCGGTGCAGAACATTAAATGTGGAAAGTGAGGATGGTGAACCACCATGTGAGTGGAAGATGCGTGTGTCTTTGAAAGCTCGCGGCCTTCATGAAATTGTGAGATGGCATGATACACATAATTGCATGACTCCCGTGAATGATAATGACAATCGGTGTGTGGAGGCGCCTTTCGTTGCTAGACTCATCAAGAGAAAGGTTGAGGACAACGTAGATTATACGGTAGCCTCGGCACAGAAAGATGTGAAGACCTTATTGAAAGTAGATGTGCCATACAAAAGGGCGTGGCACGGGAGGAGGAAAGCCATAGAAGCGGTCTAGGGTGATTGGACATCGAATTTTGAAGAACTTCCACGGTAAATATCAAGGTTTATTAGTGTATTGAAATATTTTTAGTGTTTTTTTTTTACATGTATTGAAATATTTTAACTATGACTTGTTGTTGTGTAGGTATATCGCTGCGCTTAAGTTTACTAATCCTGAGACTGTAGTAGAGTGGGAATGGAAGGAGGGACAAGAAAGTTGGAATAGGGAAAATAGGACATTTAAATACGTCTTCTGGTCATTTGCACCAGTGGCTGCGACGTTTTTTAAATGTCCACCGGTCATTTGTATCGATGGAACCTTCTTGCGTGGTGGATACAAGGGTAAATTGCTTGTTGCGGTGGTCTATATCGCAAACAAGCACATTTTACCGGTTGCATTGTGATTGTGGATGAGGAGACAATAGAGAGTTGGATATTTTTTATAAGGAATTTGAGGTTGTGGGTTGTGTATGATAGAATCGTAAGTGTGATATCCGACCGGAATGCAGGGTTGTTGAGCGCAATGTCACAAATGGATGAATGGCGTCATTTAGGTGATGGTGGCCACTTTCTTTGACTCCGCCACGTTCGCAGCAATCTTGTGTCGCGATATAATAGCAAAAAGGTGAAGCGGTTATGTTGGAAGATGGCCACGACGCTTTCAAGAGTGAAATACAACCGTATGAGGGTAGAGTTTATTGAATTCAAACCTGCTACATGGGAGTACCTTCGAGGGATCGGAGGGAGTAACTGGGCTCGATTGAAAGCCGGTCTTCGCCGTTGGGGCATAGCGACAACCAACATTTCTGAGAGTTACAACAATGCGTTGAAAGGGATCCTTATGCTGCATTTTATTAGCAGTTTCATGTTTCCTAACAAGACGCAAAACACTGTCAATCTGCAGTTCTTGGTCCAGTTGAGGATTTAGATCAGTGTAGTCGATACAATTGGGGATCGGCACTACTGGCTGGTTTGTACTCTGGACTGTGCGAGGCATCACAGTACACCATGCACGACGCTGGCTGTCTATATTTGCTACAGGTACGTATTAGTTTTAAATTGGTGTTATAATTATTTTTCACTTTCGATGTTATAATTTGAAGTTTTAACATTATTATTGAAATTTATTAGGTATGGGCGTATGAGTGGATCGAGAGAATCGCGCCACAAAGAAAAGGAGTAGATTATTTGATTGATGAGACCGCTCCATTAGCTCAGTGGTACGTATTTTCAGTTCAAAATAACTCAATGTTTATTTTTATTTGTTTCTTATTCATTTTTTTTACTAATTCAAATGTATTCCTTTGTTCATTAATGTGGGAATGTAGGTACACCTACGGAGATGTGCCAAGGAGCAGCACCCCAAATTTTAGAGATCAAGTAACAAGCCTGCGTGTTGAATATGTAAGTACTTGTAATTTGGTATTTATATTTACTTTCAATTTCTTTTTGTTCCGGTTATACCATCTAATGAAATTCTTTTCTTGCAGTTTCGGTGGCAACCATATGCACAGGTCCTTCATAGACTCCCTGATTTCTGTACACAAGCCCAAGCCATTTGGACGACCAGGTGTTGGATGTTCTGTTGGGCTATTAGGGAATCCCACGAGTCGGGCAGAGTTGTGAGACAATTTGGATACATATAGGATGTTCCCAAGCGCCTTATGATTAAAGATAATGTAGCATTCCTTCTCGATCACGCCCACAGTATGTCTGGGTATCCTAGCAACAATTGGGTGGACCACCATTCCGCAGTACGTCGTCATTGGAATAGGAGAGAAGAGTACGTGCTACGAGATTTGGAGGAAGGAGACCCTGGCTCCGTATATGAGGGGTACTATGAATGGTTCATGGTGAACACTGTCAGACTGATATCCAATCCCAAAAATTATGAACCTCAAGGATACGAGACTTGTTCGAGCCGAGTGAAATTATATGTGAGTTCATTCTATGTTTTTTTATTATTTCTTATTTTTCATTTTATTTTTTTATTTTTATATTTTTAGAATTTTACTCTCTTAATTAACGTCCCAATTTCTTTTCAGGGTGAAGTATTGAACAACATTCACGTGAGTACCGAGAAGTTTAGAGAAAAACGAAAAGATGAGAATCTCCTAGACGAAGAACTCGACAAGAATTTGGATGATATCATCAATCAAACACATGCTGCTTAAACCCTGGGCGCAAATGATGAGATGGAGGTGGAGGATACCCAAAGCCTGGTTGCTGAAGATCCATCTTTGCCCTCACAACCTCCGCCGAGTAAAAAAGCGAAACCGTGGTCGAGAGATAAGATTGGAGGAGGAAGAAAGAGGAAGGTCCCAATTCCCCCTCGGACATCGCAACAACAAACTGAGGGTCAACAAAATGAGGATCAAGCACATTCTTCTTGAGGCTCGCGCATCCAGTTCGAGACTCAATTTGAAGACATTGGTGGACTCGATACTCAGTTTGACCTTGGTGGACCCGAGATTCAGTTTGGTGGACAGTCGCAACCACAACCGAGAGTCAAATTTCTCACCATGGGGGAGTCCTAATCCCAACCCCAACCCGAGGCTCAGTTTAGTAGACAGTCGCAACCACAACAGAGTTCAATACTCACGTATCTTAAGTGGGGAGACAGGATCCGGCAGGGCTCAAATAAATACACTCCGGATGCGCACAATAAAGGAAAAGGAAAAATATAAGACCTATGATGTATTTTGCACATTTAAAGTAGTTTTTGTATTGATTTTGGTATGAAACTTGATTTGTTTTGTTGTTAATCGAATGCTGTTTATTGTTTTGTTGCCATTAAATTTCTGTTTTCCAATGTTTCATTGTTTTTGGTACTGTAAACAGGTTTAGAACTGGTTAAAACCAGTCTAATTTTTTCTTTTCAGTTCTGACATAGACTCGGATTTGCAAAATCCGAACTCAGACTTTTTGTAAAGGATTCGGATTTCGTAAATCCAAGTATGCAGCCAACTGAGATTTTCAGAAAACAGAGGAGATTCGGATTTCGGTAATCCGAATCTTCATTTATTCGGATTACCGATATCCGGGTTTTTCCAAATTTAATTTTTCAACACATCTTTTTTTTTTTCTATTCGGAAATTAATATTTTATTCGTAAATACGGATTTAGAAAATCCGGATTTAGATTAATTACACTAATTTCTGTCATTAACTTAATACGGATTTACGTAACACAAAGTTGGATTTCTATAATCCGAGTTTAGAGAAACTCGGATTTCCTAAATTCGGGACATATAAGTTTGTCCACAAAATTTTTGAAAGGTTTATTTTTGTCCAGGTATATATAAGGAAATATATTTAAGGAAAAAATTCCTTAGATAAGCCTAATTTTTATTTGGTACTCCCTCTCTTCTCCAAAATAAACAATTCTTTCTTTCTAATAATTTCACATCAATATAATGAAATATTAAATAATAAAAATGCTGAAACATAAGAAAAAAAAATTACCTTGATTTGGTAAAACAAATATATTTCGGGAAAAATTTATAAACGACAACATATATTTTAGAACGGTGGGTAAGAAAGGAGTTTTTATTTTAAGGTTTATTTAGAATTTATTTAAATCATGAGGACCTGTATTTAAATATGTATTTTGAAATAGTAAATAATTATTACCGGATCCACCAAGATGTGCTCTATTGTGCACCCAGAGGGAGCGCAGGACGCGCCCTCACCCCTTTTTCTCCCTTTTTCTAATAACTTTTTTACTTTTACTATTAGTTTTCAATTATTCTTTTTTTAATTATTTTACTTTATCCTTTAATCAAAAAATAAATATAAAATGTATTTGACTCGTATGTTCAGCCGCTATGCGAATAAATTACAACCTTTTTTTGGCTGTAATATATGAGCAAACATGTGTAAACATACCTTCTATTAGTGTAGCCAATATTATCTCGTCTACCGTATACGTAACTAATCTAAGTCAATAATTTTTTCGGTTCTAATATCTGAGCATATATATGTAAATAGAGAAGAAACATATTTTTCTAAAGAGAAGGATAAGGCTTACAAAATTAAAAATTAGAAAATTAAACAAAAAAAATAGTGAGCGGGCGCGCACCGCGTGTGATTGCCCTCTCGGTACGCTCTAAGCTAGCGCACATCGGATGCTTAGTATTATTTGTGCCAAGATTGGTGATGGTAATTAATTTTTCAAATTAATGAGTCCGAGAGTCCTTAACTTGGGGAGATTCTCTCTCAGAGTTCCATTTTTACCTTGAGTCTTCCATGGAATCTTTTTGGTGGATTGATTGTTTTATTACAAAAATTTTCATCCACGCTTAAATAGTTATCCCATTGTTGCTCTTTTCACATTACTTGACACATCTCAAATCTCACTCTTTCTAATTTTTAGTTCTTTAAGTTTCCCTGTATAAGTTTTTTTAGCGATTTTCATCATGGTTTAGATCTATAATCTCGTTTCCATTCACTTCTGTTTTAGATTGTCTTCAATCATTTATTGTTTTGTGCTATTTCCTGTCCTTTGTTTTCTAATTATTTTATGTTTTCTTCGTCTTGTTTTTACAGACCTTGTTTGTGAAGTATAGTTCGTATTATTGGTCTTTCATATCCTTTGTCATCTGCGGTTGAATTTTCCTTCACTGTTTGTTGTATCATTGGCTATGGGGGAGGAGGCCGAACATATTATTGGGAGGCTATCACTAAGAGATAATGAATCCACCAGACATTCTACAAGATCATTGAGGACCACTCACATTGATCCGTTCCTTATCATTGTTGGAAAACTTCATTGTCCAAGAGTAGTGTCTCATGATGCTATTCGTACTTACTGTCGTAACATTTGATCGATCCGGCATAGTTTCACAGTCAGACCAGTGGGGGAAAATTTGGTTCATTTCAAGTTTAATGAACGAATCGATCGTGCTAGTGTTCTTCAGGGGGAGTCATGATTGCTAGGTCGTAAACATCTCCTGGTTTTGAAGCCTCATGATGATTTAACTGCTTATTTTGGTATCTGCCCTTGGTGGATTCAATTACATCAGTGTCTGTAGGTTTTGATGAATGAGGAATTTACCATTTATTCAGGAAATCTGATTGGTCAATTTTTGGATGTTTACATGATGCTAATCGTAATTGCATTGGCAGATTTCTCCATATTAAAGTATGAGCGTTTGGCAGAATGGTATTATCATTGTGGGATTACTGGGCACATTGAAAGTGGTTGTCCAACTAAACCAGTGAATGAAGGCAGTTCTTCCTCCCCTCCTAAATACGGTAATTGGCTTAAGGCGACAGGCTACTGGAACCCGTCTTTTTCCAAACGGCCGGTGCAAGAACCAGATCCATTTCATGCTCCGGATGATTCTGGCGAAGAAGTTGCTCCTTACACATCAATCACACCGTATTACTTCCAGACTTACTATCACTCATCCACCAACCCACGTTCATGTCTCCACTACTCCCACAAACTGAACACCTTTAGTATCTTCTAATCCAGACCATAAAAATAACTTCCATGTCTCTCCTTCATCAATTATCTCTCCTCACTCACAAAAAACCTTGCAGAGCCTACTGATTCTTCTTAATCCAAACCATAAAAATAACCTCCACATCTCTCCTTCACCAATTATCTCTCCTCAGTCACAAAAAATCTTCCAGAGCCAACTGATTCTTCTATCTCTCAGCCCTCATCTTCGAAGTCTTGTTTAGAGATATTACCACCAAATCCAACCATAAACTTGGAAACTAATGGAACTTTAGGAGTCAGTGTATCTCAAAACACTTATTCAGCCCACCCACCCCCCACAACATCAATCAACTACCAATTCCACAACTTTATCTCCCTTGAAGAATGTCGATGGACAATTTCTTCCCTTCCCTACCTCTTCTTTTAATCCTTGCGTAGACCCTGTAACTACTACCATTGTTTCTGTTTCACCACCCCCTTCACCATCTCATCATGTCTTCTCACATACACATTTTGATTCCTTTCTTAACCAGCCCTCCACTCCCCTTTGTGGAAAAAAAATTACTGTCGCATCAATAATCTCTACACTTCCTAGACCTTACCTAGTTACAGTTCCAATAACATTTGATACTCCAACTCGGAAAGTAGCTCGTGGATTCAATGCAACCCTATTCTTCAAAATGCTTCAATTGATGCTCCAGTTGAACAGTTACGGAAATGCAAGTGGTATGTTGATGAGTTTGATGGCCTGGATCTCCAAATGGTCGATGTTGAAATTATAAGAAAAAAGCCTCGCATTGATTGTCTTGCTGTTTCGGACACTTCTTTCTCAATTAATGTCTCAATGGACGACGGAGTGGTAGAGATTGGGTTGTTACCGCCCCCCCTCCCAATCCCGCCCAGTTCAATGAGTATCTTAAGTTGGAATTGCCGGGGATTGGGGAGTTCTCAGAAATTTGATGAACTGGGCGTGAAAGTCTCCCCATCTTCTTTTTCTGTGTAAAACTAAGATTGATCGGTATCAATTCAGATTAAAGACTAAATTGGATATGTTTTCAGTGTGTGTAGAGTTAAATGGAAATTGAGGTGGATTGGCCATGCTATAGAGTAAGGAAATTACTGTTGACTTGCGGTCCTATTCTGACAGGTATATTGATGTTAATGTTGAACCTAAAGGTCAAAAGGTGCGTGCTATAGGCATATGTGGTCAGCCGGATGTGTCTTTAAGAAGAGAAGAATGGAACCAGTACTGTTCACTTTTTTATTCGGAGCAAAAACCCTAGATTTTCTTTGGTGACTTTAATGAGGTATCTCAAGATGAGTTTCAAGGGTGTCGTTCTCATGCTAATTGGCAAATCAATCTTCTCCAGAACATGATGGATTATCTTCAAACTTCTAGATATGGGTTTTGAGGGCTATAAGTTTTGTTGGCAACGTCATGAACATCCACAAACTCAAAGAGCTCGGCTTGATCGATCAACTTGTAATGTGCTCCAACTATTTCCATGGAGTTCGGTGTCCCATATTCCTATGTTTGTCTCTGATCATGTACTATTACATATTCAGTTGCATGAAAGAGACACTTACGCTCATGTTCACAGGCGAAAGAAACCGTTTAGGTTTGAAGCTCATTGGGTGAAAGTTGAGGACTGCCAAAGGGTAATTGGGGAAAACAAGGACTTTGATTTCAACTCACTGGGGGATAAGTTGGAGAATGTTCAGATTGGTAAATTGAATTGGAGCAGGCATCATCATTCAGATTTTGAAAAAACGAATGAAGTTCTCAAGCAAGAAATCTTGCTTTTACGAAGAGGCCGAATTGATGACCCTCAGCACAGCAAACTTAGTGAATTGAAGAAGGAGCTGGATTTGTTGTCTGTGAGAGAAAACTTGAAGTGGCAACAACGTGCTAAACAACATTGGTATTGGGAGGGAGATTGTAATACTAAATTTTTCCATGTTTTTGCAAATAAGAGAAAATCTGTAAACCATATTTTCAGGCTTAAAGACAATACGGGTTATCTTTGTGTTGATACTAAGGAATTGGAGAATATTATAATGGATTACTATTGCACACTTTTTGTTTCATCAAGCGCTCTTAAGTCGGAAATACACCAATAAGTAGGCTGGTTAACCACAAAGGGGACGTTGGATATGAATGATCGCTTAATGCGCCCATATACGGCGGATGAGATCGTGAAAGCACTCAAGGAAATGGCACATTTCAAGTCCCCTAGTCCGGATGGTATGAGTACTATTTTTTTCAAAAAAATCTGGAATGTAGTCAGTAATGATGTGACCTCTTTTGTGCTGATTTTTTTTTTAAGCATGGTATTTTTGATTCTCATATGATTATACTCGCATAGTTCTGGTTCCTAAAGTTAAAAATCTGGATCTCGTTACTCATTTCGCCCCAATTATTTATGCAATTTTGTCTACAAATTGTATTCCAAGGTCATTTTTAATAGGTTATGTTTCATTTTACCTTATATTATTTCTGAGTCTAAATTAGCCTTTATCCCTGGTCGTCTCATTGCAGACAATCTTCTCTTAGCCTTTGAGACTCACCATCACATGAAAACTCGTCCCAGTTACAAAACCGGATTGATGTCAAATTAGACATGAGTTTAGCCTTTGATAAAGTAGAGTGGACTTTTCTAAAACCTGTTTTACTAGCTCTAGGATTTTGAGTCTTTTGTTGAAGTGATCAATACATGCCTTTCTTCAGTAAGATTTTCTTTCATTTTAACTGGGCAGCAATTCAGAAATTTAACACTGGAGAGAGGGTTCATCAAGGTAATCCTCTCTCCCTATATCTCTTTATCATTTACTCGGAAGTATTTTCATGTTTATTACATGATCTTCATAGATATGACTGTATACATGAAATTGGAGTAACTCGTGATGTACCTAAAATCTCTCATGTTTTCTTTGCTGATGACACATTATTTTTTGGCCATGCTACAGAGGATAAAGCTCATTACCTACATTGGGTTAAAAAATTTTTTTGTGAAAATGTAAATATATTAATAACTGGCTTTCGAGCACATATTTACAACCAAATCAACTCTATTACATTGACCATACTAACCTGAATCTATCGCTGGCATATGTACAACTCTCAAAACAAAATGTTCAAAACTGCATTTTTAGCTACTGTGGAAGGTTGTCTAAGGCAACTTTGCACTTTCGAAAACAGCTCCTGCTTAATCACCTGCACCAGCGGCAAACCTGTTCTTTGTTTACCAGTAAAGTACCATGCATTTCTCTCTTCCCAAAGGTGGTAGATCAGAGCAGCAATAGGGAGGTCCTCCAAATACAAAGGATTCTCTCCCTCCATCCAGTCTGATTACATGGTAGCGAGATTTGCAGCCATCTGTTAACTTCATTCAAAACCTCATGAGAAAAGGTACAACAAAAGAATAAATGGCTAGCATCTTCCTGGTATTGTTGACATAGAACACAGACAGGATCAACATGTACCAACAGGGACTTACTTATTCGGTCTTTCATCAGAAGCCTATTCTTCCAGCAAAGCCAAGCAATGGAGTAGTGCTTCAACAATTTATAACATGACCAAATAAACATAGAGTCAGGGCAATGCTGTTGATCTCCCATTAACCAATTATAACTAGAACTTATAGTATATTTTCCATCAGCATTGTGCTTCCAATTGTTACCTACCACTTAGCTTCACCCTTAATCCTTTCCTTCAATTTCAGCAGTCTTTTCTAGTGCCAACTAGAATCTAACTTTGGTTGAACTTCCCATAAAGTTTCATCCTTTAAGTATACTCCATGCATCCATCTTACCCACAAGTTATCAGCTTTGCAAGCTAAGTTCCAAATTTGCTTAATCAGTGCTGCTTCATTCCATACCTGGGCATCCCTTATGTTTAATCCTCCTTCTTCTTTTGTTCGATATACTAGATCCCAACTGACAAAAGGTATACTCCTCCCATTCTCCTTTATCCCCCAAACAAATTCCCTATAAACTCTATTGACATGTCTTGTGATACTTTTAGGCAGAATAAAGGCCTGAGCCCAAAAGTTATTCATCGCCATTAGAACACATTCACCAGTTGAATTCTGCCAGCATAACTTAAATGCCTGGAGCTCCAACACCGAATCTTCGCAATCGTTTTCTGCACCATGATTTTCCATTCAGTTTTGTTTCACTTCCTTGGAGACAGTGGAACACCAAGATACTTCATCGGGAATCTGCCTTTACAAAAGCCAGAGAGGTTACGCAGCTCCTGTTTGATCTCCTCTGTAACATCTCCAATATATATTGCTGATTTGCTGGACTTTGCACAAAGGCCAAAAGTAGCCGAAAACTCCTACAAAGTCTGCATAACTTTCTGGACAGTATACCTATCCGCTTTACAAAAAATCATCAAATCATATGAAAAACAGATTCCTTACACTGAGGGTGAAATCAAAATCTAGGGTCACTCGCAACTTTCTTCAACAACTGAGTATGATACTCCATACATTTCAAATAAAATGGTGACATAGGGTCACCCTTTCTAAGTCCCCTCTCCCCATTCAACTCTAAAGTGTAAGTTGGTGATCTAACGCATTCCATTATCAGTCTAATAAAAGAGTAAGGAAAATTACACCCTACATGCATTTCCTCAATGAAATCCCATCCCACCGAGTCATATGCTTTTTTTTATATCAATTTTCAAAATACATCTACCCCTGATATTCTTTCTACCATATAACCTAAAAAGCTGTTGCGTAAGAAGTGCATTATGCAAAATAAGATGATTACTTACAAATGCACTTTGATTTGCATCAATCAAGTCCGGTAGCACTGCTTTCAATCTTTCACATATGATTTTTGAGATAACCTTGTATACCATGTTGCAACAGGCGATGGGTCTGTATTCACCAGCATTTTGCGGCGCATCAATCTTCGGAACCAGGGCTAGTGTTGTAGCATTGACCTGTTTCAACAATCTCCCACTGACAAAGAATTCCATCACGACTTTTACAAGATCAACCCTAACTATATTCCAAGCTCCTTTGAAGAAACCACTTCCAAAACCATCGGGTCCAGGACTCTTCCCGCTATTTTTTTTAAGCAAAAAAGGAGGATATGAGACTATTTTTAGGTCCCGGCTGACTTATAAAATACTCAAGAGGTATACCCAAGAGCTATTTTATAAGGTAACCAGTACTATATGATACTATGCACCCAAGGGGTATACCCAAGGGATGGACATATATATCATATAGTTCCCTAGATTCGTCTCTCCCCATCATTTTATTAACGTTCTCAAAGAAAATGAAGCCGGCAGTGCATAAAACTTACCTGCTATACATCAAGTAAAGCGAGTTCTAATATATGGGAAGGAAGATTGATCAAGTATCAATAATCTTTTTACAACTAGTGGTAAAGACTCTAAACTAGAGTACATTTTTGAGGAGCCATTAGATGCATCTTTTGCTAATCTATTCGCAACCGAATTAGACTCCCTGTATATATTCAAAACCTGAAAATTATTCTTTTGAATGATAAAAATCATTTCCTGCAAAATAGAGTAATAACTCTAGAAGAACACCTTCTCCAACTTCAATATATCCTCTAAGATCTTGTTGTATGTTTGAAGCATCACATTTGAAAGTCCCAAGAAATCACATTTTCTTAGGCCAAATAAATCTCCAAAAATTTCAGCTTTAAAGCTATCTCCGTCTCCCAAATAACCACATTCTCCATACAAAAAAGCACCACCTCCTCCATCGCGAAGCCATAACTAGCATCATTAACACGAGACGAGCCATCCGTGTTTAAAACATAAGAATTTGCTGCCGGAGGTATCCAAGCTACTTTCCAAACCCTAGGCCGAATTATTCGACTTAGTTTTACCCCAAAAAAGCACCCTAAAAAACTCCTTTTTCGACTCACCTCGAGCTTTCATGTTTTTGACAAGCAAAATAGAGTGAATTTGATCCATAATTGCACTAAAAATGGACTGAAAATCAACCCTAACTCCATCATAGATTGCCTTGTTGCGCAACTTCAAAATTCCCCAGAGGATAATCAAAGGAAAAAGTTTACAAAATGCACCAGAAGCTGTCTTGATATCTCCCTTCCTCCACCATTTTCCAAGCATCAAATCTAAAGAATCACACCCTACCACATTGAGATTAATCATCGCAGCAAAATGAAACCATATCCTCCGGGTCAATGAGCACTGAATAAAACAGTGCTCAAGCTTATCACCATAAGCAAAACAAAGTTGACAAACCGAAGGTGAAATGTTGATTCATAGTAATTATTTTTATTTTTAGTATATAATTATATATGGAATAATATCTATTTCGACTTCTTCAAACCTTACATAATTTTTAGTAAAAAGAATTTCAAGTATAGTTCAAAATTTATTTATACATTTGATAAAAAAAAAACTGTTAACCATAATTAATATCCTTAATTTTTTAATAAATTATGGGTATCGTTATACATTTGATAGGTTTTGTCAAAAAAAATTCCATACTAATTTTAATGTATAGATCTCATTAATAATTATGATATTGATGTACACCTTGTTTGCACAATGAATAAAAACATATGTTAATCTATTAAAAAGCAACAAACAAAAAAATAAATTCGAGCGCTTAAAGAAGAGAAGGGGGGGGGAGGGGAATGAAAAATAAAAAGGAAAAGCAGTGTTGTACAGCGCTGAAGGGAGAAGAGGAAAAAGAAAACCTTTAAACACAAAAGTGACCCGTTTCTTTATAACCCGGAAAATGACCTGTATGTGACCCGCGTGTTTTTCTAAAGTCCCTAGAGTTTGAATTGCAATTATTTGATCCCACAAAAGAATTGAAAATAAAGAATTGAGCCTCATCTTGAATTATAATTCTAATTCCGGTATCTCTATTTTTGTCAAGAATTGGAATTGAAGGCCTTCAATTCCAATTCTTGGGTCCAATTCAATCCAACCAAACAGAGCCTAAGTGAAATTGGCTAAATCAAAGTTCATCTTACTAAGTAAAATTGGCTAAATAACAGACAAATATTTTCCCAAGAAAACCACCCTTATCAATAAAAAGAGAAATGAGAAGAAAAATAAGCATTCCCACAAATCTTAAAAAAATAAAACAAACCATACTATTCACAGATACAATAAATTACAAAAAGAAACGCAGGGAAAAATGTGGAATAGGCATCCTTGCAGCTGAGGATTGGAAAGTCTATTAAAGGGCCAGAGAAGGGTAACATTCCGACAGGTATACAGTATTCAAACAACAGGGTCAAGTTCGAGTTGCCTTCAATGTTTCTTGATTTTTCCTATCATATCCTTCAACTTCTTCTACGTGCATTGCAAAATTCCATCCCCCGCTGCCATCATCCGCATCTTCATTCAAAAGACCTTGAAAGAACCTCAGTGCTTCTTGATCAATTTCAGCACTAGAGGTAAGCATTCGACTGAATTTTAAAAATACTTTGCTTGATTCATCTTTCCTTCAAGGTGGCATGAAAAAAGGCCGTATTAGTATCCCCTTCTTTTAACCACTTCAGTTTCATCTTTTGCGACCAAAAATCATCATGCTCTTTGAGCCCCAAAAGCAAGTTAGCTGTAGCTTCATTAAGAATAACCCGATCTTGAACTGACCTAGATAAGTCATAGGCATTTTCAAGTTGCTGCACATTCTCCTCCGCCACCCTTATACTCTCCAAGACATATCCAACAACTAATTTATTCCATTCTTTCAACTTCGATTTCAGACGCCTGAGTTTTAGAGAGAAACGTAGCATTCTGGTTTGCTCAACTAGTTGGTCCCAACAATCTTGGACCATCTCCTTAAACCCTTCTCGGGGCAACCTCATTTTCTGGAACCTAAATACCTTTGGCTTGCTCTCCCCTTGCGCAGCAAATAAATGCAACAAAGGACTATGGTCAGATGTAGTCCTATTTAAATTCTCAACGGGGGAGCTTGGAAAGTAATCATTCCATTCCTTGGAAATCCAAACTCTATCAAGTTTTTTGCTCACCCAGCCTGTAGCCCTATTACCGCCCCATGTAAACTCTTCTCCAGTTGTTGGGAGTTCAAGTAAATCACATTTAAAGATACAATCAATAAACTCCAACATGGCCGCATGATCCTGAATTGAGACGCCCGAATATTCCTCTAATGACCGGATAACGTTGAAGTCCCCCAGCAACCATCCATGGTGAGTTTGCATACCGCTGCCGAAATGCCATTAAACTCCTCCACAACAATTGTCGCGCCCACCGATTTGTTTTTGCATACACCGCCGAGAGATGGAACTTGTCAGCAATAACATGAGTAACCTCAAAGTGCAAAACTTGATCCTCATCAGCTAACACAAATAACGAAAATTCTCGCCGATTGAATACCCAAATTTTGCTGGAATTAGAAGAAAAAGCCATATCAAAACCCAACTCCCTTCTTATGCTTTCAATCTGTCCCAAATCCAACATAGGTTCAAGAATTATTAAAAAGAAACCCTATATTGTTGAATCAACATCCTCAATCGTCGCTGCGACGCTTGATTCCTTATTCCTCTAATGTTCCAAATTATTTGACTTAACATAGAAACTGATAATGAGAGAACCGTAACAATCTATTGTAGTAGCGAAGACCGCCTTGGCATAAAGCCTTCAAGCAAGTGAGCCTTTTCCTCCTTTGACTTCCGACCATGTTTCTTATGCACTAAACCATCCCCTTGCACCGGTTCTGGTACATGAGCATTTTCTGCATCGCCGTCGAACCAACTTCCCCGATCAATATCAACCAAATCATCATCTTTAGTAGATGTTCCCAACATTCCATCATCCAAACAAGTTCCCACATCCAGGGGGCTTGTACTACCCAAAGGAAGCACTTCGAGCGATTCAGCAACTAACTCAGGGACATTCTGAATTATATGCAGCGACTGAGGATCTTCAATAAATACATCTTCCACATGCTCCTCTTCTTCCTCATCAACAACTGCAGTGGATTCTTCCTCAAGAGTAGTGAAACAATTGGAAGTCACTAGAGCATGAGTTTTCTCTGTCGCATTTCTGTTTTCATCATCCTGTGAGGCTGATTGCAACAAAGGAGCCAATTTCACCGTGCACTTTGTCATCTCCCATCTGAACAATTTTATCCACAACCTGATCCTGGAGAACCAAAGTAGGACTAGCTGAGATATCCACAAGAATGTCACCTTTCTCCTTCATAGACAAATCGGAAGTCAATCCACCAGCGCGCACCTCTAGGGTTTGTACAGCTAGGGTTAGCTATTGAGAGGGTTGCAACTCTTTAACCGGTGGTGCAACTGCCCTAACAATTAGAGGTTGCGTTTGCAGAATCTCCACATCAAGCTCTGGAGTTTCCTTCTTACGTTTGGAACCCCAAGTCACTTTGGATTGCAGCAATTTAATTCCTTCTTTCTTTGGAATTGGAGCATTCTCCTTCTCGATTTCATTCACTTGTGGCAATGGCTTTCCAACTCTACAGTCACTCAATTTGTGTCCAATCTTGCAACACTTGGAGCAATATAATGGAACATGTTCATGTGTAAAGATTTGCTCATGTTTTCGGCCTTTCTTTCTAATCCTCGCAGATTTTGGAAGTTCCTTCATAAGGTCGACTTCTACGCAAAAGCGCACAACCGACGGCCTTTCTTTCCAATCCTCGCAGATTTTGGAAGTTCCTTCATAAGGTCGACTTCTACGCAAAAGCGCACAACCGACGGCCTCGTCATATTCAAGGTTGGGGTATCTACCTTCAATGGCTGACCAATTGTGGATGCCATTGAGAACATAACCTCCGGGCGCATAAATTCAACCGGTAGATCATATACGGATACCCAAATCGGGACGACGGGTGGATCTTCCTCAAAACGAAATCCCGGTGTCCACTTCAATATGTGCATTGAGAACCCCACAATGTTCCAAAACATTCTAATCCAACACCTTTGATAGTTACCTTCTTCCTTAAATCGAATTAGAATGTGTCTTGGGTTCATGAGACCCAATGTATAGCCACCATTGAAGCCAATCTTCTTGAACTCGTGGATTTCCTCCATCATGGGGCGACCATACGAGAATTTCCCCACAAGACTCAAGCGATGCGGAGCAATGAGCTTTTCAAATTAATCATCTTCATACTCCAATGTAGGAGTACCATTGATGAACTTAACTTGTTTGATGAGTGAGTTTTGGCTTGCCTCAGATGCCGAGGGCTTTCGGAAAAACCTTGCAAACGTTTTTGGTGGTTTTGGAGGTGCGATCAACGGCTGATCGCCGGCCATAACGGCAAGGAAAGGCGTGGAGCCGTCGTTTCTAGGGTTCAACTAGAGAGAAAAAATAGGTAGGTTTGAAGTTTTTTTAGGACTCTTACCACTATTGGATGCTCCATACCACTTTCTTGATTTCTATGCACTAACCTGCTTTAACAATATTAATTGTTTTCTCAGTCTAGTTTTGGGCCCCAGTTGAAAGCAGAATCTTTTGCACTTTTCCTGGTTGAAGATTGGGCTATTAAGTTGTATGGATGTGTTTCAGGGCAACAGATTAACTTTGATGAATATGGAATTTTCTTTAGTCCTAATACTGAGGAGTCGGCGAAAGCGGTTATTTGTAGCATTTTTGGAATCTTGGAGGTTGATCGTCATGGAAAATATCTTGGATTGCCATCTATTGTTTGAAAGTGCAAGAGTGAAGTCTTTGCAAGCATCAAAGAAGAATTTAGCAAAAGCTAAAATGCTTGAGTTCGAAGACTTTATCTAGGGCTAGGAAAGAGCTTCTCACCAAATCTGTCATCCAAACTATTCCCTCCTATGCTATGTATTGTTTCTTATTGCCAGATAACGTGTTGAATGAGCAACAATCTATGTCTAGCAACAACTTTTGGGGAGGTTTAAAAGGAAGGAGGAAAATTCACTGGCCATCTTGGTCTTCCATGTCTCATAATAAAAAAGACGGAAGTCTCGTATTCCAAAATTTGAAAGTATTCAACATGGCAATGTTAAGCAAGCAAGCATGGCATTTGCTAACATCTCCACACTCGTTACTAGCGTGAGCGTTGAAGGCAGAGTATCATCCTTCTCAGAAATTTTTCGAAGCCAATCTTGGACAAACACCATCATGGACATGGAGGAGCATCTTGGAAGGTTGTAAGGTTTTCGAGCTGGGTTGTTGAAAGCAAATCCGAATAAGGGAACAAACCAACACTTGGGGTGATAAATTAATTCCATTAGAACTTTCTTTTTGGACTTCAGCAACTCCACAATTGTTGCCATTATCAGCAAAAGTTTCAGCTTTAATTCTGCAGGACCGTGTTGAATGGAATCATGAGCTTATAACTAGCATTTTTTCTCCTGGGAGTCAGTAGCCATCCTTTCCATGGTGCTACATGATGGGTGTTGAGACCACCAAAATAAAACCTGTTTAAAACTTGTAGTAAGTGATAAAAAGGGTCGACCCCAAGGAGACGGGAAACAACTGATGAAAATTGGGATTGAGTACAAGAATGCAATGTGAGAACAGAAGTAGGATATTGGCAAGTGAATTTGTGACTTGACAAAGTGATGGAAGCCTAGTCCTCTCTACTCTATATGCACATATAATAATTCTTTAGCTCTCTATGTGGTATGAAACTGTGTTCAATCAGGCACTATAAAACTGTAAGGTCGCTCTTGTTATTGATAATCTCTTTCGTACTAACGTTGTTGGTGGGCTTGTAGGCTATGGCTGGTCAAAACAAACCCGTAATTTACTACCTTGTAGGAAATGAAGGACCTCGTATCATGTTTGTCCCCCTAGTCAATGGTTCTTTTGCAGGAGGACTTCGTCCCTATTAAATTACCTGACAAAATGAATCGTTACAAAAATGATGAAATATAAGATTCATTTTGTATCTTATGAAGCCTATGCAATAGCAATTAAAATGATGAAATATAAGATTCAGGAGCTAGAGAATCTTAGGGCCCATTTGATAAAACTTAACTTGGGTTTGAAGTCTGAAATCTGAAGACTGAATCATAAGTACTGAATTGATTAAGTTTGTCGTGTTTGATAAAAACCAAAATCTAAACACTGACTAAAATGTCTGAAATCTGAAGTCTGAAGACTGAAACTTAAAGTATTTCGACTTATAATTTTATCTAAAGAAATAATTGATGTATATGAAACTATGATAATAAAAATAATAATAATATTACTAAATAATGTAATAAAAATATTTAAATTTTATTATGTTATTATTTTTTCAGTTAATAATAATGTCAAATTTTATCATTGACAAAAAAAATTCATATATGGTAAAGATATATTGATCATGGAATTTAATGGATTTTAATTTTTATATAAAAAATAAATATTTATTAAATAAAAATAATTTACATAAATTTTTATTTAGAACTAGACATCATGATTAATAAAAATATTTCAAGGTAACATATCAAAAGTATAAACATAAAAATAAATAAATAGAAAAAAATCGTCTCAAGACTTCCGTTCAGACATAAGTGATAGGCCTATCACTTATTTTTAGGCTCACATAGTACTAGCATTTCAGACCCACTTAATTTATTAAGACATGCTACTTTGAGTTATCAAACACGCTTAAAATTTAAGTCCTTAATAAATTAAATTCTTCAGCAATTAAGTTGTTATGATATTGTGTTATCAAACAGTGCTAATCAATTAAGTACTTAATTAATAAGTTTAAGTGTTTAATTAGTTTATCAAACAGGGCCTTAATGCCTATGTAGTTCATGAGTTAGAGAATGTTGTTTTTGAAATGCAATTTGATAATATGGTGCAGGGCATGGGGGAGATGGAATTAAGATTGAATGAAAACAATGCCAACTACCATGCCACAGGGTGGAAATGAAAATAATCCAATCATTATTCCATCATCACCCGCTAGCGAAGAAACTTCGAAATATGAACCTGAGGTTGATGACTAGGGTGATGAGAAAGTTTAGGGTTTAAGGTGGAGCTAATATTATATAAATAAGACTATGGCAAATGCCTTACTAAATGGTTTAAAGGCTTGCGAAGCAAGTGGAGTATCTCAAGTTTTGAGTTTAGAAGCAGAGATTAAAGCAATTCTAAATGGTTGAAAGGCTTGCGAAGCAAGGGGAATATCTCAAGTGGTAGTGCAAACGGACAGCAAGACAATTGTGCAAATTCTTAGGAAGAATGAGGATTTTTCTTGGCGCTATAATGCAAAACTCCGACAAATAAGACAAATGTTGTACATTTCCAATTCAAGAATAGTTCATATCTATCTTGAAGCGAACAGCATGGCGGATGCTCTAGCAAAACTTTGTTCCAGAAGAGTAACCACTTAATATGATTCGCATGAGGATCTCCCAATATTGTTGCGAGGTAAATGATACTTAGATAAATGTTCCTTTCCATATTTAAGGATTAGATAACTTTTGAATGTAATGTAAAAGAAAAGTATAGTTTAGACTAGGAAAATAGAGAAATCATGAGGTTTATGTTTAACCTTTGTAAGACTATCTTTTAGCTTAATTTATAAATACAGAGATGCCATGGGATTATAGTACAATCTTTGCAAGGCAACCTCTTAGAATTAGAAGTAGAGCTGTCATGATATTTTAGAAAATCTTTGTAAGACAGACTCTTCCCTTTGGGTAAGTTTTAAGCACTGCCAGTGTAATATCTTTTTAAAAAATTAATAAAATCGGGGGAATGCCTGCCAGGTACCGCCTGGTTCTCTTAAAAAAAAAAAGGTCTTACTACCTCACTCTATGATTTCTTAATTTTCTTATGGCTAAATACGAGAGAAACTAGATTCCATGTAATAGGTAGAGTATTTAATTCCATGACCTCATGTAAATCTACTAAGAATTGGTTTTACTAAAAAATATAAGTGTTATGGATTTATTATAATCTATCTATATTCCTTCTTGCAATTAATTCTTAGTGCATTTCATGTAGTTGTTGTTATTGACTAGTGGTGTTATTAGACTATATTTGTACAAGGGGTTTGGTAATCTCATTATGAATTGCTTATATAATAATGTTAAGGCTCTGTTTGGTTGGATTGAATTGGACCCAAGAATTGGAATTAGAAGCTTCAATTCTAATTCTTGTGTTTGGCTGACAAAAATAGAGGTTCCAGAATTTGAATTATAATTCAAGATGAGACTCAATTCTTTATTTCTAATTCTTTTGTAGGAGGAAATAATTGCAATTCGAACTCTAAGGACTTTAGGAAAAACGCGGGTCACATGTGGGTCGTTTTCCGAGTTAAAAAGAAACGGATCTCTTTTACTTTTAAGCTTCTTTTTTTTTTTTTGCTTTTTGTTAAATTAACATCTGTTTTTATTCATTGTGCAAACAAGGTGTACATCAACTTGATAATGAGATCTATACATTAAAATTAGTATTGTATTTTTTTGTAAAAAAATATCAAATGTATAACCATACCCGTAATTTATTTAAAATATTAAAGGTATTGATTTTGGGTTAACAATTTTTTTTTATCAAATGTATAAATAATTTTGAACTATACTTGAAATTGTTTTCACTAAAAATTACATATGCTTTCAAGTTGTCGAAATATATATTATTCCATATATAATTATATACTAAAAATAAAA